AGTGATGGACAAGCTCTGGAATTGAATAGCAGTGAAGGCTGCACAACTTTTTGGCTACACCAAAGACTACTGATTTAATCCTGTACTTTCCAAGGATGCATTTCTGGCATGTGAATTATGTATCAGGGAATTTGTTATTTAAGAAAGGAAATGGTTAGCTCTCATGGTGAGTCAGTATCTGTTTTCATAAATAGGAGATAAGCACAAAAATATTATCTAGCCATGAGAAAGAAGGAAATCCTGCCATTCGGGACAACGTGGATGGACCTTGAGGACATAATGTTCAATGAGATAAGCCAGACAGAGAAAGACAAATACAGTAGCTTTCACTTATACGTGGCATCTTACAGAGCTGAACTTGTAGAAACAGAGAGTAGACTGTGCTTCCCAGGGCTTGCGGGTGGAGGAAATGGGGAGATGTTTCAAAGGCTACAAATTTGTAAGTAGAAGACGAATAAATCCTGGAGACCTAATGTGCAGTGTAGTTATTACAGCCAACAATTATTATCTATTTCAAAGTTGCTAAGAGACCAGATCTTCAGTGTTCTCACCACAAAAAAGAAATAATAATAAGTTAATGTGATAGAGGTGTTAGCTAACACTACGGTGGAAATCATAGATCAATACATTAATGTATCATATCAACACAATGTTATATGTCAATTCTATCTCAATAAAAAATATGTATATACAATTTAAATTCTACATGTTTACGTATGAACCACCTAAGTCATCTCAAAGTACGAGTCCACACACTTTTGATACCATGACCGGTATCCTGGTCTCTGCCTCCTTGTGCACATGTACAAACATTGCTCTGGATGCGCACATACCCCCAGAGAATAGACCACAAGTGGCAGTAATAGAAACAAAACAATTAGCATCTTCCTCTTTAATAAGGAGCCATGGGGGGCTGGAGTCCCTAAGAGCCTCAAGCTATAAATATCCTTCTTTGTCTTTGTCCCTGGCCCCCTGCTCGCCTACAGCAGCGGGGCAAACATAGGAGTTCTTCCGGGCCACAGGCATCAGACCCACACCAGCAATCACGCTGAGCGGTCTCCCCATGCCTTTCCTGGGACTTAGTGCTGGCCTCAGGGTCCTCTGAAAGCCAGTGGAGAAGGAGGTTTGCCAAGTCCACCCTCCTGGTTATACCAATGTTGGTAAGTCAGTGAGGGATGGAGAAGGGACGTGAGCTGGATGGGACCAGAAAGTGGACTCTTTCCCTCCTGGATGTGCAGAGAGAGAAAAAAAAGTAACTGAGGCCAATTCTACACCCCCTGAGTGGACAAAAGACACAGAGGGCAGACACTCTGTAGCAGGTCATGGGGAGGAAAAGCATCTAGGGGCTGTGGTTGGGGGACACTTGCCCAAATAGGAGAAACATTGAAAAACGGCTTTCTCCAATATGGCAGTTCTCCAATATGTGGTGCCCAGGCCAGAAGCGTCAACATCCCTTGGGAATTTTCTAGAAGTGCTGATTCTTGACAAGCCCCACCCAGATCCTATCTGTTTTAACCAGTCTCTAGGAAACACTGGTGCATGCTCAAGGTTCAGAACCATTGCTCTAGCACAACCAAGGACCTCAGGTCAACAACAGAGACTGTTGCGAATGTGTGGCCAGGAAGGGACTCACAGCAGCACAAACAACGCAGCGAAACCTGACCCATCACCTTACAAAAACCTCAAGCCCAACTCTAGAATACCTGGGAAAAGTAATAGAAGGCTTTGCTGGAGATCTCATGAAGTTAACAAGAAGATTCTGCTGTTCAGTTTCCCAAAAGACCCCCTTTGACTGGTCTTCTACCTCTAAGGGTCCTGCCCCTCAGAGCCGGTGAGTACAGTTGACAATTGAAAAACCTGGGGGCTTGGGGTGCTGACCTTCCTCTGCAGTCGAAAATCCACATATAACTTTTGACTCCCTCCAAAAAACGTAACTACTATTAGCCTACTGTTGGCCGGAATAACATAAACAGTCAAGGAACACGTATTTTGCATGTTCCATGTACTCTATACTGTATTCTTACAATAAAGTAAGCTAGAGGAAAAAAATCGTTTTCCAAATTGTCGCAAATCTCCAAAAAAAAAATAATTTCCAATATATTTACTGAAAAAGATTCACATATAAGCGGACCCACGCCTTTCAAAGCCGTGTCGTTCAAAGGTCAACTGTCCATGACCCTCTTGTTTTTGCAGCATCTTGGGGTCACCTGTAAGCTTTCTTGTGGGGACCTATTTATCCACCAAATTCTCCCATCTGCATCCTGATCCCACCTAGGCAAACCTTAAATCTTTCCAGACATCAGTGTTCCCTGGCAGGCAGGGGGATGCAAATGGAAGATGCCTGTAATTGAACAGTTTTCTCTACCATGTGCTAACAGCACAGAGCTGAGCTTTCAAACGCCTCCGCTGCCAACGCGCACTCAGAGAGGCAGTGGAGTGTCAGAGAATAAAAACAAACCTAGGTTCAAATGAAAGATCAAACCCTTGCAAGCTGAATGCTCTGGCACCTCTCAGCCCCCCACCTCCTTCTCTCTCAGATGGGGGTCAACACCGTCTCCCTCCAGTGGCTGGTGGAGAAACTACACTCAATGTATCTGGCTCCTAAGAGGCCTCAACACTGTAAGGTCATAATGATGTGTTCTTGTCGGCCGTTGGTTATAAGACATGGGGAATCTAACCAAGTAAGAAATGACTTTTGCAAAGGAAAATCCTCTCTTTATTGGAAAGAGACGATACTGAGGTTTTACCAAGACTTGATGATTCATGGCATGCTGTTTTTTTGCCGCTGAATTATCAGTGTATCATAAGAGACATGGGCAGCACCTGGGCACCAAACCCATTGTCTATAAATGCTCGTTGATGCTCATTCAGGGAAAGGAGGACTCAATGCATTCGCTGGGAAGCTGAGACTTGGAGAGGCAGAAGCAACCAGGCTTTGGTGGTCTTGTATGGACAGGATGCAATAAGGATCTGCCGTCTCTGGGCTTTGGGCTTCCTAAGTCCCAGACTGCTGAGGCTAAAGCACAGAGGAGTTCAAAAGTTGTTTCTGACTCTACACATGAAAATGAACTACAAATTCCTTTCTAAACAGAAGGGGAAATAGAACTGGGGTCACACCCATTAACAGTTTAAAATGGGTAAGTGGGTGTGTGATCAGAACATGCCTATGTCTTTGCATATCTTTGCATCTTGCACTCACATATGTATCACTTGGGTCATTATTTTCATATCAGTTCATTTCAGAATGTTATTTTATAAGCTTACTTTTCTTGTCATCATATTAGTTACAGGAATTAGCACGTCGCATACATTGCTTTCCATCAAGGAGGGATTTGAGCACACCTTTGTCATTTTTATGAAATGGTCCAGCTTTGAACAATCCAGGCTGTGTCTGCACGTTTTTATTTTGAATAAACACTTTAACAGCTGTTTAGCAATGATAGAACATCATGTGTTTTACTAAGGGTGCAAAACTGTTTCAGGTGGTAGTGACATTCTGTCTAGAAGCTAAGAACATATAAAATTTCCTGTATTGCAAAGCTATCACTGATGGCAAAATGTACTTTCAGAATGCCGTCAGCACTAAAGTTCTAGCTACTCTTTTTTACTGTGAGAGGTCTTTAAAGCCTCTACTTCACCAGCTTTCTGGGTTCATCCATGGTCTCTATTTTCCCCTGAAAATATCCCGAGCGCCAGCATGCTACATGCCCATGGCCAGAAGGCTGTTCACTACCTCACTGAAGCATTTCTGCTCTCATGAAATTGAATTGAGTCATTTTAAGTAATCCCAATCTGATGGTTCTGATTTTAGTTGCTGCTGAAATTGCAGTATTTAGTTAAATGCTGTATAAATAAAAGAACTACAAGAGAGGGAAGGGAAGGGAAGGGAAGGGAAGTTCAAGAAATCCAATTCACATTGAATGCTTTGGAAAGACAATAAAAAGAAATCACTAAAATACACACACACACACACACAGTTGCTATCAAATTAGATGTATGCAACATCATGGAAAACAATTGGGGTATAAAACTGCAAACATGGAAAGGATTCTGCATCCAGATTGTTTTGCAAGGATCCCTAATTTCTTAGTCCACATTAATAAAGCAAACTGAAGCAGAGATAGAAGCCTGTGTGTGTGGCTTAGGCAAGAAAGTTGATACGAATCCACCTCTAATACTTTCATGCTCACCAAAAAGACTTGTTTCTCATCAAAGCCCAGTGAACTGATTTACATACTTAAGTTAAAATGTGAAAGCATGCTTGTGCACATTTAAATAATACAATCCCAACTTTTTGCAGGATTTTTCAAGCACTGATCCCCATCACAAAAATGAAAGAGGTGTCTGCTGTAGGGATCGCCTATAGCAGGTCATAAAGTGCCCTTAATAAATTTGGGGTTCATCAGAAACAGAGGAGGATTATCCTTTTTTTATATCTCTAGCTGTTAACCCAAAATTGATGCTAAAATCCTGTCTTGTTGATGAAGAGGAGGGAGGAGAGGTAAGGGAGGAAGGAGAGAGGAAGAGAAGAGAAGAGAGAGAAGAGAAGAGAGAGAAGAGAAGAGAAGAGAAGAGAAGAGAAGAGAAGAGAAGAGAAGAGAAGAGAAGAGAAGAGAAGAGAAGAGAAGAGAATGATCAGGCTGCCTTTTCCTGTGCGTGGTTTCAGCGTAGACTTGATTCTGCTCGGTCTTGTTCTCTAAGAAGCTTTGCTCCCCTGAAGAGAAACAAAGGCATTTATGAGCAATAACCAACTTGTCTCAAAACAAGTAAGTTTGGTCTTTGAGACACAGATTATCTCAGGCGTGGATGGTTCCCTTCACTGCAAACAGAAACCCCTGCAGGTAGCATAACACAAAGAGATTTCCTGAAAGGATTCATGGACTTTCACAGACCCTGCAGATCTCCACGGGAAGCTGGGACTGAAACTCCATCGCTGACGCTCAGCTTTATGTTGCTTCCCTCCCTCCTTTCTTTCCTTTCATGGTAGACACAGGCTGTCCATGGAACTAGAAAACAGAACAGCAGTCTCCAAATTCCTCCTCCTGGGACTCTCAGAGAAGCCAGAGCATCAGCCCCTGTTCTTTGGGGTTTTCCTCTCTGTGTACCTGGTCACCATGTTTGGGAACCTGCTCATCATCCTGGCCATCAGCTCTGACCCCCGCCTGCACACACCCTGTACTTCTTCCTCTCCAGCCTGTCCCTTGTTGATGTCTTCTTGTCTTCCACCACCGTCCCCAAGATGCTGGTGAACCTCCACACCCAGAACCGAACCATCCCCTTTGCAGGCTGCCTTGTCCAGATGTATGCCTTCCACCTGTTCGGGACCATGGACAGCTTCCTCCTGGCCGTCATAGCCGTTGAGCAGTTTGTGGCCATCGTCCACCCTTTGCGCTACTCTGTCATCATGAGCTCCTGTGCCTGTGGGCTGCTGCTGGGGGTGCCGTGGCTGATCACCAACCTCCAGTCGCTGGTGCACACCTGCCTCATGGCTCAACTGACCTTCTGTGCCAGCCCCCAAATTGCCCACTTTTTCTGTGACCTCATGCCCCTGCTGAATGAAGTAGGCCTGCTGGGACACACACACCAACAGACTCTTCATCTTTGCTTTCGGCATCATCATGAGCATCAGCCCCTTTTCCTGCATCCTTCTCTCCTACATTTGCATTTTCTGGGTGGTCCTTAAGATCCCTTCTGCTCAAGGCAAGTGGAAAGCCTGCTTCCTCCACCTGTGGTTCGCACCTCACTGTGGTGTCTCTGTTCTACGGCACCATCTTCGCTGCGTATTTGCAGCCTGCGTCTCCCACCTCTTCCCAGAAGGACAAGGTGGCCACCTTGATGTGCAGGGTGGTCATCCCTATGCTGAACCCCTTTATCTACAGTCTCAGGAACAAGGACATGAAGGCAGCCCTGAGGAAGCTCATCTGCAAAGCAGCCTCCCCTCAGTCCTAGAGCAGAACAGTGGTTAGGCGCCTACCCACGCTCTGTGACCACTGCAGGGTGCCAGAGACAAAGAGCCACATCCCATCCCTGCCCTTGAGGTAAAGCATGCTTGTGCACATTTAAATAATACAATCCCAACTTTTTGCAGGATTTTTCAAGCACTGATCCCCATCACAAAAATGAAAGAGGTGTCTGCTGTAGGGATCGCCTATAGCAGGTCATAAAGTGCCCTTAATAAATTTGGGGTTCATCAGAAACAGAGGAGGATTATCCTTTTTTTATATCTCTAGCTGTTAACCCAAAATTGATGCTAAAATCCTGTCTTGTTGATGAAGAGGAGGGAGGAGAGGTAAGGGAGGAAGGAGAGAGGAAGAGAAGAGAAGAGAGAGAAGAGAAGAGAGAGAAGAGAAGAGAAGAGAAGAGAAGAGAAGAGAAGAGAAGAGAAGAGAAGAGAAGAGAAGAGAAGAGAAGAGAAGAGAATGATCAGGCTGCCTTTTCCTGTGCGTGGTTTCAGCGTAGACTTGATTCTGCTCGGTCTTGTTCTCTAAGAAGCTTTGCTCCCCTGAAGAGAAACAAAGGCATTTATGAGCAATAACCAACTTGTCTCAAAACAAGTAAGTTTGGTCTTTGAGACACAGATTATCTCAGGCGTGGATGGTTCCCTTCACTGCAAACAGAAACCCCTGCAGGTAGCATAACACAAAGAGATTTCCTGAAAGGATTCATGGACTTTCACAGACCCTGCAGATCTCCACGGGAAGCTGGGACTGAAACTCCATCGCTGACGCTCAGCTTTATGTTGCTTCCCTCCCTCCTTTCTTTCCTTTCATGGTAGACACAGGCTGTCCATGGAACTAGAAAACAGAACAGCAGTCTCCAAATTCCTCCTCCTGGGACTCTCAGAGAAGCCAGAGCATCAGCCCCTGTTCTTTGGGGTTTTCCTCTCTGTGTACCTGGTCACCATGTTTGGGAACCTGCTCATCATCCTGGCCATCAGCTCTGACCCCCGCCTGCACACACCCTGTACTTCTTCCTCTCCAGCCTGTCCCTTGTTGATGTCTTCTTGTCTTCCACCACCGTCCCCAAGATGCTGGTGAACCTCCACACCCAGAACCGAACCATCCCCTTTGCAGGCTGCCTTGTCCAGATGTATGCCTTCCACCTGTTCGGGACCATGGACAGCTTCCTCCTGGCCGTCATAGCCGTTGAGCAGTTTGTGGCCATCGTCCACCCTTTGCGCTACTCTGTCATCATGAGCTCCTGTGCCTGTGGGCTGCTGCTGGGGGTGCCGTGGCTGATCACCAACCTCCAGTCGCTGGTGCACACCTGCCTCATGGCTCAACTGACCTTCTGTGCCAGCCCCCAAATTGCCCACTTTTTCTGTGACCTCATGCCCCTGCTGAATGAAGTAGGCCTGCTGGGACACACACACCAACAGACTCTTCATCTTTGCTTTCGGCATCATCATGAGCATCAGCCCCTTTTCCTGCATCCTTCTCTCCTACATTTGCATTTTCTGGGTGGTCCTTAAGATCCCTTCTGCTCAAGGCAAGTGGAAAGCCTGCTTCCTCCACCTGTGGTTCGCACCTCACTGTGGTGTCTCTGTTCTACGGCACCATCTTCGCTGCGTATTTGCAGCCTGCGTCTCCCACCTCTTCCCAGAAGGACAAGGTGGCCACCTTGATGTGCAGGGTGGTCATCCCTATGCTGAACCCCTTTATCTACAGTCTCAGGAACAAGGACATGAAGGCAGCCCTGAGGAAGCTCATCTGCAAAGCAGCCTCCCCTCAGTCCTAGAGCAGAACAGTGGTTAGGCGCCTACCCACGCTCTGTGACCACTGCAGGGTGCCAGAGACAAAGAGCCACATCCCATCCCTGCCCTTGAGGCGTCCTGAGCCTAGTGGGGAGCGGAGACATGTAAATAACTCATTACAGTGCAATGCAGTAAATGCATCACAGAGATGAATGAAGGGTTACAGGAAGCCAAAGGGAGAGGGGCGCATTTTTCCATGATTTGTCTTTCCTTTGAACAACAGAGAGGCAGGGAGAACTTCAAAGTACTCAGGTTGACCTTTTCTGGGGTGTCGGTCTTAGAGGATTGCTACATGGACAATACTAGTTGAACGAAAGACTGGCTATGCTCCTTTTAATATTGATCAAGATAATGTGCGCTGGCCAATTACACCACCATGTGTCCTAAGTGACTCAGAAGAATTCTGTAAGCTTCTGCTGAGATTAGCCTGCCTGCTTTGCACCCATCAGCCTTGGTCTCACAGGAGGGCTCGTGGCCACCTCTTGTGGTCAGGACTTTGCACAGGGGTCCTTGTCACCAACAGGCCTCCCACTTGCCCCACTTCTGCACATAAGCTCAGAGAGGCAATGACACATGGCTCGAGAGGACTGTAATTCAGCAGGCTGGAGGAGGACCCTGGTATCTGCCTTTTTAAAGAGCTATGCAGGCAGCACCAGTGCAGGGAAGCACATGGACCTCAGTCTGAAGACGCAAACCCTGGACTAGCTCCAGAGTTCTTGGGTTACCCCCCACGTCCATCACCCAACTCCAAACCCAGTACAGGTGCAATGCTACAGGGGCAATCAGCCACAAACGGATGGGGTGGTCCGGGAATGCACAGAGAGTTAGCGTTAGGCATAGAATTGTGTCCCCCCAAAAAAGATGTGTTAAAGTTCTAACTCCCAGTACCTCCGAACATAACCTTACCTGAAATGGGGTCTTCACAGAGCTAAAATGAAGCCCTTAAGGTGAGTCCTTCAATAGGACTGGTGTCCTTATAAAAAGGGAGAATTTGCACACAGACACGCACACAGGGAGCAGGCCAGGTGAAGGTGAAGATGCTCAGGCCATGCTTCTACCAGCCGAGGGAGGCCAGAAGTTGCCAGCAACCATATGGCACAGGTCATCCCCCCCACCCCTGCTGCCCCCAAAAGGAACCAAGACCCCCGTGACCCCGTGATCTTAGACTTCTGGCCACCAGATCTGTGAGATCATAGATTTCTGTTGGGCAAGGTGCCCTGTTCGTGGTGCGTTGTTATGGCGTCCCTAGAAAACTCATGCAGTCAGTTTAGGGAGGGCCAGCATCACCCAGAGACCACGCCCAGGCACATCCTCCCAAGTGCAGGACTTACCTTGTGTTCTGGTTAAAAGACTCTAGGCTGCAACTAAGAGAAAAAAGATGAATGAATTTTTACCGCATGGATTCATTTTCTGGGTCTCAAGGTGATAACAATAATGATAGTGACACCAGAGATTAATTATGTGCCCAGCAGGGTGCTAAACCCTTTATATGCATAATCTTACTACATTTTAAAGAACAGGATGAGGGAACGGAGGCTTGAAAAGGGAAGCTGCTAATACGTGGTACCTGAGGTTCAAACCCAGGACCCAACCCAGAGCCCTAGGTCTTAACAACACAAAATATTGTCTAGAATTTGGTGCTTAGAGCAGGGATCTGCAAACTATGGCCCTTGGGCCAAATCCAGCCTGTTTCTGTACTACGTGGGAGCTAAGAATGGCTTTTACATTTTTTAAGCTGTTGGGAAAAATTAAAAGAAGACAACTTTCCACGCCAGATCAAAATTACATAAAAGTCTCATTTTGAGCGCCCATAAATAAATGCTTAGGGGAACACAGCCACTCCTATTGGTTCATGTATCATCTATGACTGCTTTCAAGATACAGGGCATTCGACAAAGATGATTCTATGATGTGCAAAGTCTAAAATATTTACTATCTGGCCCTTTACAAGAAGAGTTTGCCAACCTCTTTTCTATAGGAACAGTCGAGAATGAGACTCAAGTAGGTCCACAAATCAGAAGCATCAACATCATGCATGGGGAGTTTGCTAGAAATGAAGACTCAGAGACCAAATCACTAAATCATCATTTTAACAATCCAAGGGATTTATATGAGCCTTAAATTGAGAGAAGCCCAGGGAGAGATGGGAGGAGGGCTGTAGAGATTCGGGACCCAGATAGGCCTTTAGTTCAGAGATACAGGAGAACCAAATCTGTTGCATTTTTCCCTGCCACAGGCACCATCCTGAAAGGACAGCCCCAAGTCTCCCAGACGCTTTGAAAGAATGGCAGCCACAGTGAGAGGGGATGGCCACCAGGTGGCCATAGTGCCACTCACAAAACAGATTTGAGTTTAAAGCTTCTGTTTTTCAGAAACCTTTATTCGGGCTGCGAACTGGCCCAGGTCCGCCCGTCTCAGGTATAATCATTCCCTGGGAGGGAACAGCATGTGCAAAGCCCCTGTGGTGGGACGGAGCCTGCATTGTTCAGAGAAGCCGCAGGGACTGATGTGTCCCCAGCCCAGAGTGAGAGGGGCATGCAGGAAGCTGAGGAGGGCAGAGGCTGCCAGCGCCCACCGCCGGGATGGAGCCACGGGGCAGAGGGCACCCTGATAAGGGTGTGGCGGGGTATGAAGAGGGTCTCATCAGGATGAATCCACTGATGAGCCATGTCATGGATTTCGGATTAGAAAACTTTTTCTCAAAAGGACCAGATAGTGAATATTCTCAGCTTTATGGGTCACAGAGTCTCTGTGCACTGACTCAGCTCAGCTGTTACAGGGCAGAAGCCACCATAGACAACACAGCCAGGAATGGCAGTGGGCTGAGAGCACACAAACCTTTATTTATAGACACTGAAACCTGAATTTTATCTCTTTTTACTTGTCACAAAAGAGTCTCTTTTTTACCGTTGCATTAGAAAAAGCATTTGCATCATCAAAATGATTCAGAAAAAGCATTTGCATCATCAAAATGATTCAGAAAGATTCTCGACTAATATCTACCTTCTGTGCACACTTCTCTAAATTGTAGTGATAAGGTATAGCACATAGTTCTCTTTTTCTAAAGAAAGTAAACTATAGTGGAGAAATGAAATCTGGCTATTTGGGTTTTAGGAACTGCTATTTGTTCACACCTTTTCCACCCTCCAGAAACCCTCCTACATTCTTGCCTCGTCAAATGCGGCTCCCTGGCAAT